ACTGACCGACGTTTAAATCTGTTACTAAAACGAAACCAGGACGTTTAAATCTGTTTACAGAAGAAAACCATCCAACATAATAATAATATAATATAATAATATAATATAATATCATATCATAATAGTTTTGTCTGATAAATTCGGTAGTTATACAAATAGCTATATACTGTAACAGTATGTCGTTAAAAAATTGTTTACTTCCATAACTGGATAAACTGATAGTGAACAGCATTGTTGACTTTGGGACCTACATCTGCGTCATGAACTATATCAATCCGTCTGTCAGCACGTCAGAGAGAGAAGACAAACCTTGATCTCGGTGTGGCCAGGGGTTACATTTGACCTTTGACCTCTGACATCTGACCGCTTCTACAGTGTTGTCTGCTGAGATGTTGTTGTGATGGTGATGTGTGTTTGACAGATGGACAGACCATCTCTCGCACACACACACACACACACACACTCTCACACACACACACTCTCTCTCTCTCTCTCTCACACACATTCACACACTCTCTCTCTCACACACACACACACACACACACACACATTCACACACTCACTCACTCACACACACACATACACATACACACACACAGAGAGAGACCTGTGGCAGAACATGAATTAAAGTGATAATTCACCCAATGAAAAATGAAAAACCTGTCATCAGTTACTCCATCTGAAGTTGTTTCAAATCTGTATGAGTTTCTCCTGTTAAACATGAAGGAAGATATTTTAAAGAAAGTGGATAACCAAACAGTTGCTGGTCCCCATTGACTTCATTAGACTAGACTCTAGAGAGTAAAAAAAACACATTCTTCAAAATATCTTCTTTTGTGTTCAGCAGAAAAAAAGAAAGAAATGCATGCAGGTTTGGTTGTAGTAAATTATAATTTTTAATTTTAGGGTGAACTGACACTTTAATTAAACGCCTTTTTGTAAATGTATGTATTTATTTTCTGTTTATTTTTTATTATTGTTTTTCTTTATCTTTATTTTATTTATTTTTTTATTTGGCTATTCACCTTTTAGTACAGATTTTCTTCTATTATTATTGTTGTTGTTGTTATTTTTATTATTACTGAATTGTTTTTATACTTTTTGATATTCCTGTTTTTTTAAATATTCATCTTCTGGTCTCACACACACACACACACACGCACATATATATACAGTATACAGGTGCATCTCAATAAATTAGAATGTCGTGGAAAAGTTCATTTATTTCAGTAATTCAACTCAAATTGTGAAACTCGTGTATTAAATAAATTCAATGCACACAGACTGAAGTAGTTTAAGTCTTTGGTTCTTTTAATTGTGATGATTTTGGCTCACATTTAACAAAAACCCACCAACAAATTAGAATACTTAAACTACTTCAGTCTGTGTGCACTGAATTTATTTAATACACGAGTTTCACAATTTGAGTTGAATTACTGAAATAAATGAACTTTTCCACGACATTCTAATTAATTGAGATGCACCTGTATATATATATATATATATATGAATAAAAACATACAAAATTAATAAAAAATAATATAATTATATTTTTGTTTAGTTTATAAATATAAATAAATTATATTTATGAATAAAAAGAGTTTAATCACAAAACTAATCAATACTTTTGTAGTTATTAAAAAGCTGAGAGACATTTATGTTAGACGAAAACATACTTATAAACAGCAGTTCTTCTAGTGATGCCAATAAAAAAAATAGTTTTACATCGGTGCTCTTGTTTGTGTGTTTGTTGAGCTGCTCTTGTGTGTTTTTGTGTCTTCACTTATTTAAGTGAGGTTAAGGGGGGGGGTTGTGGTTGCCGTGGCGACATACCTGGATGACCTCATGCTTGGCGACAGCAGCGAGGGGAAGCAGAGTCTGCGGTGACCTCATCGCCAGATATCGCTGTGGAAACATTGATTCATCCTGCGAAAAACCAGACCCCCGAGAGCCGCTAAAGCAGCTGTAAACCTCACACACGCACCTCACTGTCCGCTCCTCACTTCCTCTAAATCTTTCTCCTCGGAAACCTTTTACATGTTTCCTTCAGCATGACATCACCCTCGGCCCCTGCTGATGATGTCATGCGCGGCTCCTGGCAGCGTCCGAGATTCGCTTTTTCCCTGCAGGCCAACATTCGCCTCCTGGACAGGATTAACAGGAGCGCTTTTACTTTTACGAGGGCAGAGTTCAGTTTGATTTCTTACACCACTGATGTTGCAATAGTCACTTTTTTGGACAGTTAGTCAGTAAATTCTCAGGGAAGCGACTCGTGTTGTCATTTGGATGTGACAGAAAGTGGGGTGTACTGTGTAATTAGTTCATTTCCATCAGTTTGACTGATTGTGAACGTGATTGGCTGGCGTTATCAGATTGACGGGCTAATCAGCCAATCACAGCACACTGGAGGCATGGCCGGCCCTCACGAGTGATTTTATTGATCCCTCAGAAACTGTTTCACATGGAAAAATAAGTGCTTTAAACACTGTTTATTTTCGTATTGTGATATATCTTTTGTTTTATTTAATTATATTCCTATCCGAATTGTTTTGATGATGCACATCTTTGGAAAATGTATGCTTTTTTATGTGATACTAAGAAAAAATAACTAAGAAAAAATGATCAGAACAAACAAAAACAGGGAGATTTTTGGCCCTCACATGCTAAATATCTAGAACATTTTTTGTTACTTTCAATGCAATTTTTCCATTCAAATTCTTGTTAATTTCTGGATTTTTTTTTTTTTTTACTATTTATTATTTTTTATACTATTGTTTTACATTTTTGATATTCTTATTTTTAAATATTCAGCTTTGATAGTTATTTATTTCTTTCTTTGTTTTTTTGCATATTTATTTTTTTATGTTTATTATTGTTGTTTATTTTTAATTTGTTTGTGTGTGTGTGTGTGTGTGTGTGTGTTTGTGTGCCATTACAATGCCCATAAAATGAACTACAACCCCATCGAGCAAATTTGGGATGAGTTGGAAAATAAACTGGACAGATCTATTGTACTTTGGCTTGAGTTGCAGAAGGCATGGGATAGCTTTAGTGTTGAAGTTCTCAGGAAATATATTGACACTATGCATAATGCCAGAGAGATGTGCCGCTGTATAATTGCTGCAAAAGGTGGACATACCAAATATTAAAGTTAAAAGTGGATAAAAACAGTACGACTCACTTCATCTGATATTTGTTGTGCTCAGAGCAACCATCTGCATGTTTCATGAACATTATGAAATGAAATCATGTTTTGGAGGCAAAAAAGGTCAGTATTTTCAGACCTGTCAGGTGCTCTAATAATTTTGACCACTACTGTGTGTGTGTGTATATATATATATATATATATAAGTGTAAGAAATACTTTTTTGCCTGATCTCATGTAACATTGAAACAAGTGATGATTATTGTCTTTTTCCTTTTTCATCTCCTGGTTGTTGAAAAGCGTCAATAAAAAGAGTTAAATTAATTAAAAGCCTTTTGTAGTTGTTAAAGAAAGAGACACTGTTATAGTATATGTTATAGCTTTGCTATGCATTTACTAGGGTATTTTGTGTGGGTTTTATGCAGTGTTTTTTGTATGTTTCTGCAAAATGAATAAATGTAAATGTTTTTCTGTTTCAGACGGAGGCCGTGAAAGCTGCGTTGACGGAGCTTGGGCTTAATATAGTGGAGATGAGCGATGAATCAGCCATGCTGGACGGAGGAGACGTCCTGTTCACAGGTTCACAATTGAGCTTATAATACCTTTATTGAACAGAGACCGCCCTGTGGGTCAGCATCAGCCAATCAAATCCCTGTGTGTTCAGACAAACAGACACACAGATGTTTTGCATTTATTTCTATTTCAATGCCATGTTATGCATACAAATTTAAGCAGCAGGACGGTTTTTGTGAAAAGTTGAAACATGATGTTTTCCAGCGTGGTTTCAAGGAGCATCGTTTGCTTATATTTGATTAGTCACCTAGAAACAGAGCAGAATATTCAGTATTTTACCGAGTCTCCGACTATTTGACCCCACTGGCCGAAGATGCATGAATCTGTGATGATTATTTTTACATTTTTAACTCTTTCCCTGCCAGCGTTTAAAAAAAACAAAACAAAAAAAAAGTTACCAGCCACTGCCAGCATTTTTAATCATTTTTACAAAAATGTCATGGCCCCCAGAATATCTTGTTGTATGAATATCTGAACATGCAATATGTCAAAAGAAAGATCAGGGCCTCTGCTTTTAAACAGCTTCGTGCATTCTTTTTTAACAACATTTGAATGTGGGCAAGTTTCATAAAAACAAATGCAACATTTTGATCAAAAAGCTGAGAAAATCACATTTTTGTCAAAGACTAGACTGCCGTTCAAAAGTGTGGGATCAGTAAGATTTTTAATGTTTTTTAAAGACGTTTTTTTATGCTCATATGCCCATAAAGGCTGTATCTATTTGATCAAATATACAGAAAACACTGTAAATTTTGTGGAATATTAAAATAACAGTTTTCTGTATACTTTCAAATATAATTTTTTCCACTGTCATTCAAAACATAGATGAAGTAGACATCACTTCCTAATGGCCGGAAAAGAGTTCACTATGAAAAACACTCTTTCCTCTATGTTTACAATAAAACACAACTGCACTAGAACCGTTCTTTCTAAAACCCGCAGCTGTGAATCAGCTTTACTTGCTGTGGAAATGTACATTGTGTCTGGTTGGTTCCCTGAATTCAGTGTGGGTCACCTTCAGCGGTGGCTGGAAAACTGCAGCCGTACACCTAATTGAGTCTGGAGACGTTCGGCTGGAGATGGTCCCGGCCAGAAACATTTCTTTCTGGCGTCTTGAAGCTCGTATCTCCTGTTGTGAACGTTTAGTGGCTACTGTTCTGGATTCAAGCGTTACGTTCCACTGTTCGCAGATCAGACCAGAACCACTGACGCGCAAACTTAAACTGTTACACCAGAACATGTGAGAAACTGATCTCAGGTGTCTTTTTAAAGGCATCATAAAGTCTCTTTATACAGCCAAATGTTGAAGCTTCTCACTGGCCTCAGATCAGAAGGTTCAGTGGCATCGAGGTAGAAGTAAACCCAGTGAACTCAGAGAGTCGTTAGGAAGCTTTAACTAATGTCCCTTTGCAAATTGGTCTGGTTTCCTTTGATCAGTGACGGAAACTAGATACAATCCAAATTGTTATCTGGAGCAGCACTCATTAATGTGTATGAGCAGATCAGCCGCTGCAGGTGAATGTAAACGTGTGTCTGATGTTTAGGTAGAGAATTCTTTGTGGGATTATCCAAGAGGACCAACCAGAGGGGAGCGGAGATCCTGGCCGACGCATTCAAGGTGAGTCTGATCCGTCTGTCTGTCTATCTATCTGCCTGCATGTCTATATATCTGTCTATCCATCTGTTTGTCTGTCTGTCTGTCTATATAACTGTCTATCCATCTGTTTGTCTGTCTGTCTGTCTATATAGCTGTCTATCCATCTGTTTGTCTGTCTGTCTATATAGCTGTCTATCCATTTTTCTATTTATCTGTGTGTATGTATATCTGTCTATCCATCTGTTTGTCTGTCTGTCTGTCTGTCTGTCTATATTGCTGTCTATCCATTTTTCTATCTATCTGTCTGTCTGTATAGCTGTCTATCCATCTGTCTGACTATGCACTCTAAAAAAAATGCTGGGTTAAAAACAACCCAACTTGGGTTATTTGGCAACCCAGCGCTGAGTAAATATTGACAGAACACATGCTGGGTTATTTTGACCCAGCTGGTTGGGTTAAACGTTTTTACCAAACATGCTGGGTTGTTTAATTTAAGTCATCTATTGTTTAAAAATTATTATATTGCTGGCTTAAAATGGGCTGGAAATTAAAAATCACACGCAGAATTACTCTAGGCAACAGCAATAATCACAAGATGAACATTTATTTTTAAGCAAGAACACCCATGGACAAAATACAAGACAAAAAAATGAGGTGGTATTACCCAGAGATGCAATCATGTGTACAGATGTGAATTGTAATGACATTTCCCATGGTACAGCCTTTTGTGATATAGATCATATGTCTATAGCCTTATGAATGGGATTTTTTTAGCAAGCCAATAAATGACTCGTGACCAAAGACTCTAGACTTGACTCAGACTCCAAGTTAAAGATGTGTTCAGATCAGGTAAAGATAAACCTTTTTAGAGCATATTGTACTTCTTTTTATACTGCTCCTTTGTGGGTTAAGTTTAAGAAAGAGAGCCTATGTAAGCTTCAGGTTGCGTACAATGACTGCATGAGAATCCTGCTGAAAAAACCAAGATGGAGCAGTGCAATAGTGATTTATTCTGTAAGGCAAGAGTACAATCATTCTCTGCTTTAATGAGAAATTTGATGTATAAATGTATTTGTCGGCTGGACGATTCACATAATAATATTATAATGTTGTTGTCAAATCCTAAGCTTACTGAAGTGCGATACCAGTCCTCTATGAGGAAGTATTGGTATAACTGTCTTTTTTAATTTGTATTGTTTTGGTTTGTATTGTGTGTTTCTTGTTAATGGACCTTGAGTCTGGAAATAAAGTTGAATATTAATACAGCATAGTTTACAATATTACATACATTTAAACTCGTTTAACAAAGATTTTAGAAATAAAAAGGCACATTTAAAAGTAGCATTTTAATTTAAGTGTATTCAGCCGTTCTCTGTAATCACTTTTTACCGAAATAGTGCTAATTCTCGTGCCGGCGTGTCGCCGAAATCTGAGCTGGTGAAGGGCTGCTGTTCGCCGGGGAACTGCGAACTTTAGACCGCGGCCTCGCGTTTCACTCGTAGCTGAGAGATGCCACGACTGACTCCAAAACCTGCCCATACACAAACAGTACTGAGATTAGAGAACGTATTTTAACATCAAATTAAATTACACTCAGTATTATAACGAATAAAATCCATTTATGTTATGCAAGGCAAAGGCGTTTCCAGAATGAAACGACCGCTGCTGACTGACATCTCGTTCTTCTGTTGCGCTGCTTAAAATAATACAATTTTCACCACATTGAAGACTTCATAAATGAAATAAAATGTATACAAACCTTTATTTCCTGGAAAGAGTGCACCAAATCGGCGGCGGTGGCGCTGAGAACCGCTCTCTCCTGTGGACTGAAAAAGCCCGTGCTCTCAGCAGCTGCGTTGTTGAGAAGTTTTACTGGAGACAGGGTCAACCCAGCGGTTAGGTAGAAAAAAAACCAGCGTTAAAATTACCCAGCACCTGGGTAAAACTATTAAAAACAACCCAATAAAATTACCCAACAGGCTGAACCCAGCATTTGGGTTAAAAAAATAACCCAGCATCTTTTAGAGTGTATTAATAGCCTAGGTTTAATGGAAACGAAAAGAGGCAGTGGTGTTTGATATCATATCTGTCTATATATCTGTCTTTCCATCTGTTTGTGTATATATCTGTCTATACATCGGTCTGTATATCTCTCTATCCGTCTGCCTGTCTGTCTATATATCTGTCTATCCTTCTGTCTATATATTTGTCTGTCCATCTGTCTGTCTATATATATCTCTATCCGTCTGTCTATATATTTGTCTGTCCATCTGTCTGTCTATATACTGTAACTCTCTATCTGTCTGTCCATCTGTTTGTCTATGTATTTGTCTATACATCGGTCTGTATATCTGTCTATCCATCTGCCTTTCTGTCTATATATCTCTCTATCCATCTGTCTATATATCTGTCTGTCCATCTGTTTGTCTATGTATTTGTCTATACATCGGTCTGTATATCTGTCTATCCATCTGCCTTTCTGTCTATATATCTCTCTATCCATCTGTCTATATATCTGTTTGTCTATATATCTGTCTATACATTGTTCTGTCTGTCTGTCTTGTCTTCATTCTCAGTCTCTCAGTGTTTAATGTGGATCAGGTTAAGCTCCGTTGAGGATGTTTATCTTCTGCAGCGCTGCTTCCGCAGACAGAGAACCACGTCAGCTGCAGGCTTTGATTTCTGAATGAAAATCAAACACCGGTCGTAAGAAGGGAACATTCTTTGCTAATGTCACAGATGCTTCTAACGTCACAAGTTCGTAACGAGTGGCAAACGAGCTCAAGGATGCCTGCAGCTCCTTATCATTCACATGCCGAAGCTTTATGGAAACTCTTAACCAGCGCAAAGTCACCCGGGTCGCTAAAGTGAAAGCAGAGCTGCTTTATCGAACGTGTTCATAGTACAACAGACAGCAGTGTTTGTAAATACATCCATACTTTCCACAAAAACGTTGCCTTGTTCTCTCCTCAAGAATCTCTGAGCGCATTTTCTCCTCCTTCCAAGGTCTGGAGCGCTTTAGGTGTCTTTTTCCAATAAGCGAACCGTTTTTTCCCCTTTGTTTACCCGCTGAGCCAATGCGCTTGTAGTTTATTCGGAGTACACAATATTTTCATTCTGTTTTTATGAGCGAATGTTTCTTCAGTCAGAGCCTAAATGCTTTTGTGCTGATGTGTGTCCCGACCGGACTCTGTTTTACAGGACTACGCCGTGTCCACGGTTCCCGTTCAGGACGCACTGCATCTGAAGAGTTTCTGCAGCATGGCCGGACCAGGTCTCATCGCCATCGGATCCAGCGAAGCCGCGCAGAAAGCCCTGAAGGTATAAGCACACCTTAATGTGTCCAAAAAACAACACCTGAGCTAGTTCACAGCAAACCTACAGGCATGATAGTAAACTTCATCTTCGGCCACATAAATTCAAAAGGATGCTTATCGAAACTGGAATTAAAAGAGTTAAGAAGGAAATAATTAACTGCAGATCATTGAAATACTGAATATTGAACGCACACCCAATGTCATAGCTGCCCTGAATTGATTTTTGTCACAGGTTTTAATCACTAAAATGCTTGTATGTGCATCTCCGGGTTTCCTGCAATAATCATGAAAACCTGGAAATATAGCAGTTAGTGGATATTTTTCACATTTGTCATCTTATATAAATTAGTTATTATAAATGTAATCTCTATCAAATGCTTTTTAGAAATCCAAACGACTGGGAAAATCAAGGCGCGACTGGAAATATAATAGCATAATAGAGTTACAACAACTGTAATAATTCATATGGTTATATTTGTGCATCCCTTATGTTCAGTAAGGCTGCATTTATTTGATCAAAAATGCAGTAAAAATTGTGAAATATTATTACAATGTAAAACAGCTGTTTTCTGTGTGAATATCTGTTAAACTGTCATTTATTTCTGTGATGCGCAGCTGAATTTTCAGCATCATTACTCCAGTCTTCAGTGTCACATGATTTTTCAGAAATCATTCTAATATGCTGATTTGCTGCTCAAGAAACATTTCTTGTTGAAAACAGTTGTGCTGCACAATATTTTTGTGGAAACCGTGACACATTATATTTTTCAGGATTCACAGATGAACAGAAAGTTCAAAAGAACAGCATTTATTTGAAATAGAAATCTTTTGTAACATTATAAATATTAGAATGATTTCTGAAGGATCGTGTGGGTTTTTTTTTGTAAAATAAATTCATCCTCTGTTATCAGAAGATACTTCTTTCAAAA